ATCAGTAGTTTAGCTGGTCTCACAAAATGAATGTAGTATTTCTAAGCCTCCTTTATGCTATTAAACCTTTCTCACTCTAAAACTCCTTTTACTATGCATTTTCCTTTATTTTCCTAGGCACTTTTTATTGTTTTTCCTGCCCTTCCTTTTTAGATTCTTTCCCAGAAAATCATGGTCTGATTGTAAATCCAGAAGCTGTCTCAATAGCGGGAAGTTGAGAAACTGTGTGTGGGTTTTTTTTTTTTTAACCTGCGAAGCATTTGCTGCTGAGGAATCATTTCTAGTTATAGTGCTTTCTGTTGTTTTTTGGGGAAGCTTTAGTCACCCTTCCTCTCCTCCATCTGCACCCAGTTAATTTCTCAAGTCCCTCTTTGATGAGTGCACATGTCATATTTTCCTTATCTTTCCTGTTGGACATTACTTTCTGCTGGGGAATATCCTTTCTTTACTGCATAGCAATTATTCTGGTAGCTATCACTATAACTAAAACGATGAAATATTTCCTGTTTTTTTCCCCACATTCTTCGAACCTTTGGCCTGAAACTTTCCATGCTTAGTCTTTGCCCAAAATGAAGTGCTCACCAGAGACCAACATATTTGTATTTTATCGAATGAAACTTGTGGCCTGATTCACCCGTGTTAGTCCATTTTTACTCAACGTAAGTCCATTAATTTCTACAGCTTGTCCCTCAGGTCTCAGTTCAGCAAAGGAGTTAAGCATCTGTTTAAAGTTAAGCATGTGCATAAATCCATCCCTATTCAGTAAAGTAGTTGAAGCCAATGGGATTTAAGCACAAGCTTAAAAATAAGCACTTGTTTAAGTGATTTGCTGAATAGGATTAGACTTACGCACATGCTTCAGTACTTAGAGAGAGAGTGCAGAGCTGGTCTCATTTTCTTCATTATTTGAGAAATGGCAGAAAAACTTTAAAATGTCAAAAGGGGCAAGGAAAGAGTTATAATTCCTGTAGAGGCTATCCTGTCAGCTAGGCAGGGCCAGATTCAGTAGCATGCTATCTAGGTAATTATAGGTCCCTATATCATGCTACCCAAACTGTAACACATTTGTCCTCACAACACATTGTGAGGTAGGGAAGTGAAGGTTCAGGGGTACTGAAGTGCAGAGAAATTAAATGACTTGCTTAGCATCGCCCAGGAAGTCTCTGGCAGAACCAAAAACTGAACTCTTGCTCTCTTGAATTCCTGTCAATACCTTAAGCCACAAGACCATTTGTGTTCCACAGAGAGGGGCTTCCCATCTGTGAGGGGGTCACCCCAATCATGTATGCTAAGGGTTCTAAAGAGTCTGCAAAGAAATACAGTGTGTCAAACTTGCTTCATACCACTAGTCAATTTAAAGGGGTCTAGCTAGGGCATTTACAAGCCAAGCAGCTCAAGGGCTTTCTGTACATAGCTTTATAATAAACCCTCTTTAGGATGAGCTGCATCAATTGCTTTGTTCCTTTGTGGCAGAAAATAAATCATTTATGTTGTCAGAATATTAAAGTTACCGCTGCTAGCCAGCCAAAGATGTTTGGTTCACGGTGCCTTTTGTTGTGACTTTTTTTTCTTAATAACTGGTTTCACCAGTATCGGCCTCACAAATTGTTTTCATTCCTGGAATGGATCTATGCCCCATCCAGCATCTCTATGGTAATTTCATGTTAAACGCTGGCAACGTGCTCCAGGACGTACAAGACACAAACAAGAACTCAAGGCCAGATGCAGATCTCATTTACAACTGTGTAAATCTGGAGTCCACCACTTAAATCAAGAAATACTTTACTAGCACTTTTCTTAAAGTAGTTGAATTGGAACACTTCACTGATTGCCAAGGAAAATTCAGCAACATATATGGCTTTAGTTTAATGACGCAGTTAAAAAAAACACCTCCCTTTTGCCCATTATAAGATATCTGATTGATCCCTTATAATGAGACTCCACTTTTGATGAACTTTGAATATAGGTAATTTCCTGTTTCAGCAAACCAAGAGAAAAGTGCCCCTTTTCGGAAAGAAAACAAAATTGGGCCAGACCCCAGCAGGTGTCACCTGGCTTACAGCTGCAGAGGCTTCACTGGAACGAAGTTGATTTACACCAACTGAGGACCTAGCCCACTGTTAATTATTTTTTTTATCTTTGTACAATAAACTCTTTAATAAGGACTAGATTCTGATAGCCTTCTGCATGTAGCCTCACTCTATGAGCAGAACTGTTGAAGTCAGTGGGACTCCTCATGGAGCAAAATGTTACTCAAGAAGAGCAAGGGTGTTCAAATCTGGCCCTAAGAAGTCTGGACTGTTTAGCTTTCTGAGCCTCAGCATTCCTCATTGTAAAATTGTGTGTGTCAGAGTGGAATAAACCCCTGAACTTTAAATCGCCAGACTACGACCTTGATATTCCAGATCGTATTTTTAGCAATTTAAAACAAAACAAAACAAAAAAACCCAAGAAACTTGGCTCCCTAGCATTTTAATTGCACCCTTTCGCCTACACAGACGCCTGGCTCTTCTCTGATTTCTGCCACAGACGTCCAATAAAACCTACTTCAAACAGGACTGGGAGACAGAAGCTGTAAAATCCCAAACTCAAAAAGAAAGAATACTACTTTGCACTTCTATAATGTCTTCCATCAGAGTATCTCCCAGAACTTTACCAACAGTATTGAGTTCACCTACTTAACATCCCATTTTGCAGGTCGGAAAACAGATGCAGAGAGATTAAGCAATTTGGCCAATATCAAAAATGATAAAAGGTTCAGAAAACCTGACCTAGGAGGAAAGGTTAAATAAACTGGGCATGTTTCTTTTTGAGAAGGGCAGACCTGATCAGTCTTCAGATATGTTAAGGGCTGTGATAAAGAGGACTGTGATAATTGTTCTGTTTTAGGTAGTCATGGAGAAGTAATCAGTTTAATCTGCAACAAGGGAGATTTAGTTTATATATTAGGAAAATATTTCTAACTATAAAGGTACTTTAACACTGGAATAGGCTTCTAAGGGAGGTTGTGGAATCCCCATCCCTGGAGGTTTTTAATAACAGGCTGGACAAACCTCTGTTGTGGATGATCTAGGTTTACTTGGTCCTGCCTCAGTGTAGGGGGCTGTGTCACATCCCAATGTCCCCCTCTCTCAAAGGGTCCCCCTGGAGAAGGCAGATCAGCATAGTATCTTGTTAATGCTGTTGCAAGCATTCCAGGGCATTTTAGGAAGGGTCAAAGGGATGAGTGTGGAATGGAAGATTCCTTTGCAGGGAACAAGAGGCCAAGAGAGGGAAGGAGGAAAAGAGCAGAGAACGGGTTAACTTGACACTTCATCTAGCTCCGTGTGAAGATAAGACGCTGGCCCCGGTCCAAGGTCATGGGTGTGACGAGAAATCTGCAGCTGCCCAGCCGTGAGAAGAGGAGAACGAAGTTGAGCAGGCCTGCAGAGATAGCAGTGAGCAGGGCCGGCTCCAGGCACCAGCTTAACAAGCAGGTGCTTGGGGCGGCCAAGGGAGAGGGGCGGCACCTGCGGCAATTCGGGGGCGGCAGGTCCCTCACTCCCTCTAGGAGCGAAGGACCTGCCGCTGAACTGCCGCTGCCTATCGCGGTCTTTTTTTTTTTTTGCTTGGGGCAGCAGAAATGCTGGAGCCGGCCGTGGCGGTGAGAACAGTGAGAGCGAATCAGACGGCGAAGGCTAACAGGGGGGAAAACAAAGTCTCTGGAGCCCGTGTGTTTTGGGAAGCCGAGGAGGCCACAGCGAGCCACTTTGGATTGGTACAAAGAGCACTGGGAACAGAGGGCTCTGGACGAAAACACCCCCATAGGACCCCAGGACTTAAAACCCTCCTGAGAGCCAAAGCAAGGCAGAGATCGCAGCGGACACTGAACAACCCGTGCACGGGGCAAGAACTCCCCTCCCCTCTTCTTCTTATGTTACACCCAGGTTTGGCCAGCCTCAGGTCGTGCGAGTGAGAGTATGAAAGTGGGTTAGGGCTGGAGCACTAACACTTTCTTGCTTCCTTTGAGTGATGTGGGAGCAGTCCCAACGCTCACCGCTGTTCTTTTATTAATAAAGCTTTAAACTTAGACACTTGGTGTGTTTCATCATCTCCTCCCCAAACGATTCTGCGGCCTCAGCCTGTTCCCCTGAGGCCTCAGGCAGATTGGTAACAGAAATCAGTCACAGATGGAATTGATGACATCTCAAGGTCCCTTCCAGCCCCACGTTTCCATGATCATACAGGAAGTCAGTGGCAAAGTCAGGAACTGACTCCCAGTCCTGTGCTCTAGCCACAAGACAGTCCTGCCCCAGTATATTAAATAGTAATTTAAATTTTAATATAATCAGCTTTGGGGTTTACTTTCATTTCTATTTAAAAAGTACAAAGCAACACCTCACAGTGAATGACTCCGAACGGTGATCCTGGAAACAAAGGGCCAGATCCTCAGCCAGTGTAAATCAGTATAACTATTGGCATAGGTGGGTTTGCACCCGCTGGGGGTCTGGCCCACAGAACTCAACCCATTTCCCACACAGGTCAAGATTCCCAATGACTTCAACAGGAACAGGAGCAGGTCCAAACTTACAGGGACATAAAAAATGCACTCATTTTAGTCTTGGGTGGTGGTTGTTGTTGTTGTTTTTTAAGGGACTGTGCCAGATAATTTAGGTTCTAAATATAGAGTTGTTTTGTTTATGGGTTTTTACAAGAATAGGACTATTAGAAAAATGACACATAAATTTGACAAAAAGACATCTTCATGAGACTTTTGTAAGTGTCATTGTAAATAGTTTCTTTGTCCAGATGTGAATGCTCCCCTGCAGTTTCTGCACCTCAAAGGGTAAAGCATTGTGCTAGCATTGGACAGCCAAAAAGTGATACACTTGAAGCAGTGAAACTCATTTATTTCTGATGTCCAAGACCTTGAATGAAATTATGGTGGTATTAGTAATACAGTTTAAAAAAAAAAGCTTTTCAGATATGATTTGACCTAAACGTTTCCCTTTTCTCCACAGAACGTAGCCATACACTATGGAGTTTCCTGAAATGATGCTGAGTGAAAATTTTGACAACTATTCCTATCTCTATGAGTATGAGGAAGATGAACCACCCCAGTCCTATCTCAGTGTTGCACACATCATCTCTCTTTCCTTATGCAGTGTGGCTTTTCTCCTGGGGGTACCAGGAAATGCCATAGTCATCTGGTTTATGGGGTTTAAATGGGATAAATCAGTCAGTACCCTCTGGTTCCTCAACCTGGCCATTGCAGACTTCATCTTTGTTCTTTTCCTGCCTCTTTACATTACGTATGTGGCCATGGGCTTCCATTGGCCCTTTGGGAAATGGCTCTGCAAGACTAACTCCTTCATTGCTTTACTAAATATGTTTGCCAGTGTCTTCTTCCTGACCATCATCAGCCTTGACCGCTATATCCGCCTGGTACACCCAGTCTTTTCCAACAAATATCGGACCCTAAGGAACACCCTCATTCTGAGTGTGATTACTTGGATTTCAGCTGCTATTATTGGTGCCCCTGCCTTACACTTCAGAGACATAATTACAGTTCACAACTCCACTATTTGCTATAACAACTTCCATCCACATGACAAAGAACTCATTTTGATGAGGCATAATATTTTCATTTGGGTGAGGCTTGTTTGTGGCTACCTCTTTCCCCTAGTGACCATGGTCCTTTGTTACTCATTTCTAGTTCTGAAGGTGAAGAAGAGAACCATGCTGACTTCCAGCAGGCTTTTCTGGACCATCCTTGCGGTAGTTGTAGCTTTTTTTGTTTGCTGGACCCCCTATCACATATTTACCGTTCTGGAACTATCTGCTCACCATAATGAACACTTCCATGACTTGCTTCTCAGCGGTATTCCCCTCTCTACTGGCCTGGCTTTCATCAACAGCTGCCTCAATCCAATCCTCTATGTTCTGATTAGCAAGAAGTTCCAAACCCGTGTCAGGGCGACAGTTTCTGAGGCACTAAAACTTGCAGTCTGGGAGGTCAGCCGGTCTGCAACAGTCAGTGAACAACTGCGGAACTCTGACAACAGCAATCCGGCTGTGCGGTATTGTGAAACCACTCCGTGACCAGCTCTTAAAAGTCTTTCTCACTGCATATAACCAGCAGTAGATTCACAGTCAAACAGATGTGTATCTTAGCTATGAACAAGAACAGTGGGTTGATTGCAATCAATTTAATTCTGCACCCCATGTTAGCTGGTAATTTTTTTTTTTTTTTTTTTAAGGCTGCAGAATTTGGATAGGATGCTAGTTTGATGTATAAAAGGCCTGAGTCAAAGCCCACTGCAATCAGTGGGATTTGGATCAGATAGAGGAACATTCCCGCTATTAATCCTGTTGTGTAAATTCCAGAAGAGGTGTTGAAAGTGACACCTTCTCAACATAATCATATATAACAAAAATATTTCTTTGTTGAATTATGTAACACCTTAGATCCAGGAGTTCTCAGCCTGAAGCTCACACGCAGCTGTCAGGGGTCATGATCCCACCACGCTTCCAATAGCGCTAAATAAGGAGAACTCCTGGTTAGATCCCAGCTAGGTGGAAGGGGGAGGAGGCCCAGTCTGAGTAGAAAGGGGTTCCAATATAGAAAAGGGTCCCAAATATGGAAAAGGTTGAACAAGTGCTGTAGATTATTAACAACAACTTTCTATTCACATAAAAATGAACAACCTTGTCCCCCCTTGCGCCAGCCCTTCTCTGAGGCCTTGAGTTTCCTGTTAGCTCATGTATACTCAGTAAAGGTATATTTTCAGCCAGCTTGAATACATGTATGTACAAAACTATACACACATTCTTGCCTCAGTGTGTAAGATTAGGGCTGTAACATGGTTATAACACCATATGGCCTTGTCTACACAAGTAAAGTTTACAGTGTAGATGGGGCCCTATATATAGATTCCTGCATAATGTTCTTTTACACAAAATATTCTATCACTTTGAACTATATTTGCACAAATATGAATAGATCAATATTGCCTACAGCCACATTTTGGTCTGAGTTCATTAGGCCTCATGAGCTGAGCAGTGTTAGTACTGGATCACCAGTACCATCTCAGAAATACACCTAAATGCTACAAAATATGATGTTGCTAATTGGTTAGGTACCACTCTTTCCTGAGTCATTACAGAACTAGTGCCTCAGCAAGGTGTTATGAGCTTTGTGCTGCGGAATATGCCTCAACCAAAAGTTCTACCCTCTCTTCTTTAGATTCCCTGGCATTTTTTCCTAAGAGCAGGGTGTTAACCTTCTGCTGTTTTTGAATACAGTATTCTTCACTTCCTCTCCTCGGCAGAAATGTACGGTTGCAGTCTGCTCTTAAAACAGCTCCTTTGTTCAACCCAAAGGGTTCTGGAAAATATAATCCAAGTATAGTCGATTTCTCAATCTCAGTGGTAAGGCACATTGCATCAATTTTCTTTGACAGAGTAGTTGAAGGTCTTATTTTGCATAGTCAAAAGGGTTAGCAAAGAAGTCAGTAAATAATTTGATTTTTTTTTTTAAAGCTGTGGAATATTCAAGAGATCCATGCTTAGTATTGTTGGACTATCATCATGGTTTATTAGGAACAGCAGTTCAGTGACCCCTGGGACAGGAGGACATAAACCAACATGTAGCAAGTTTCTTGAGCTAATAACAATCCTGAAATAGTTATAAGAGAGGTACAGATTTGAAGACAGCACAAGAATGCCAGTTACTGCCACTGGATAGGGAGAAAAGGACTGGCAACCTGCCCAAGTAATTCACACCAAGGCCCATGCATCATAACTACTGCATGAGCCACCTCTACAGGAGGAACAGAAGACATCTAAACAAAACCAAGGAAGACACAGCTCTCTGTTTCCTGAGGACAGTGAGATTGATGCTAATGGAGTCTGGACACTGATCAAAATGGCAGATGCTTACTCAAGTCACTGACTATGGAAAAATGGCAGGAGCAGCAACTGCCAGGTGCAGATGGTGGAGCCATCTCAGCAGCTATACAGGCCCGTGCAGGATGAGCTGTCATGAGACGGGAAAGCGGCTGTTTGATTGGAAAGCCAGCCTGAGATGAAAGGATGACAACGATTGACAGATGTCTGGATAAGCAGAAGAACAGTCCTCTCATCTGATCAGCTGCTCTGCCATTCCTAAGCAGTCTGTGAGGTTTAGTACTTGGATTAGTTTGTGGCTGTTTCTTTTGCTGATATTATATGTGATTTTTCAATAAAGGGAAGCTGTATAGTAACCACTGGATTATGACCTCTCTCATGACAGTTTTTACCTTTTAAACGTTTGTAAGCCTGATCCCATCTCTCTTTCCACTAGTCCCGGTTCTGTTACACCCAGAATTTACTGTGCCTTTCACTGATCCTTCTGGATCAGTGTGTTAGGGGCAGACATTCTTCTCTTCCTTAGGCTGGGAGAGCAATCTTCATTCTCCAAGACAAGGCCTGAACAATACAGCAGGAGCCTGTCTCCTGATTAGACCTGTGTGAATAACTGATTTGTTTGCTATCAGGTTTCTCCCCCCATCCCCAAATGTACTTTTTTGTAAAACACTTTGATTTGCTGAAAAATTTGAAATTTTTTTTGAAGGTGTGTAAAAATGAAATTGAAGGAAATTTCTAGTCATTTAGAATCAAAATGTGAACTGTTTAAATGTTTGAGGGACTTTTTTTTTTCAACTGGAGCAAATTAGTGAATTTGACACATTCATAATGGTTTGGTTAACATAGGAATCTTCCCCCCCCAACAGTGTTGGTCAAAAAACTGCCCAGCTCTACTTGAGGCACCTTGCACTGGAGAAAGAGGAGGGAGCTTGCCCTGAGGTAGATTAGAACATTAAACAAATTGGTAGGGGGGGGAAAAGGAGCAGCAATTTAGGGTGGTTTGAGAAGGAAGGGGTAGCAGCACTCCCTCGTGCATGGAGATAGCAGTGCGCCAGCTGCTTCCCTCAGGCAGACAGAATGGTCACAAGTGCTGCAACTACTCTGTGGAACCAAGAGGGCTAATTTCAGTTTTAGGGGTAGAAGAATCCACAATAATCCAGATTTTGATATTACTATGGAATTCTAATACACAGACCCATCATGAAACAAGAATTGAGGGTTGCTCAGCACCTTGCATTTATTCCAACTGAGGGTAAAAGCTGGCCCAGGAATTTATTAAAGATTGGCTATTGACTTACTTTGAGAAGTAACTTCGTTCATCTTTGGAATTCGTGACTAAGAAATATACCACTTCAAACAAAAGTTCAGAAAACTAATCAAACTGTGGTTAACTGGCTTTTCCCAGCTCTATATATGTTATGGCAGGATTGTAGAATATTACTTTCCTGATTATTCCTTAATGCTTCTTCAACAGGCAGTGTTTACTCCTGTCCAATACCAACTGAAAAACATGCCCAGAACCCATTCTTTTACATGAGTCTCAATTCAGCAATATTTTCAGAGATTTCATAAAAATCTCCAGTACTTCTGCAGGAGCACGGTCAGTATTAAAACAGCACCAATCCACCAACAGTGCAGACTGACACTGCAGGTGGCTGGCTGGCATAATTATCTCCTGAAGTGTTACAATCTGCAAGTCACTCTTAACTGCATGGATCTATACTTTCAAGAAAACTGTTCAAAGGTCTAAGTAAAAGTAGTTTTTGAACAGCTGAAGTATTTTTGATAATAAAAGCAAGAGTATTGCAGATAGATCTACTGTCCCTGGTCATCTAAACAGTACCCCTGCCAGGCATCGTAATTATTTTTGCCCAGTCTCCCTCATTTTTCACAGCACCTGTGAGGATCTTTAAAAAAAATGAGTTATGACAGGAACTACTAGGTGGAACATTAAGAAAACAAGGGCAGAGTCAGCATTAAATGTTTTTATACTAGTTCTTCCTTATTGGAATTAAAAGATTTTGTTAAGGTGGGGGTGGGAAGGCCTGTGATATGGTTTTATTTAATCATTTGTTGGGACATAGGGCATCCTTTATGGAGGATAACAAAATAAATCAAAAGCATTTGCAACCTTTTTCCTGTACAACAGCCTTTTGAACAAACAGAGCAACGAGTCCTGCCACCCCAGGTAAGCACCATGTTTCCAATAGAACTAGCAGAAGTGAAATGATGAAGATTTTAAAGTAAAATGTCAGATTTCCACATTAAATCTACCCCAGTTGCAATGAATGACATTACACTATAGTGCTAGTTTCAGCTTCCAGGCAACTCAGTGCTTCACATTACCTAGCACTACAAAAGGGACTAGAAATTTCATTAATTGAAGGCTTATGAAGAAAACCCTACACAGTCAATGTGCAGATTTACATAGTCCTGGCTGGGAAAGCATTCAGCTAGCATATTCCATTATTAGAATAAGTTTTGGGGAAAACAAAAAAACCACCCTAAGGCCTCACATCTATAATAGCCACATTCAGCCCTGATACAAGCAAGCTGAACTCTGCTAAAGGGGTATCTGCTTATACAAGTGTTATATAGAAAACAAAAGTATGCAGTATCATGAGTGCAGCTTAACCATCCTTGGCTTTTTCAGTGTAATACTCGTGGGATATTATATTTTTCCCTTCTGAAAGAGAATGCACTGTGCCACTTAGGGGTGTGGGCTTTGACTTCAATTAAAGCTGTCCAAACAGATAAGTGAAACAAAATGAGGCAATATAAAGTGATTGAACTCCCTATTAACCCTTCATTATACACAAGAATTGGTTCACCAACCCAGTATTTCAGTCTACTTAGGCATTTAATTGAAAGGGATATGCTGCCCCAGTGTTCCCTCTTTGCCTCCCAACTCCATGACATGATTTTACATATGCAGTACAAAACTGCACTGGCTTTTCATACAGTCATATCACATTGCAACTTATTTGGTATCCATTATCAAACCAAGTCTGGACAGCATTTCTGCAGCTCGGATTGTATGTCCCTAGACCAGGGGCGGGCAAACTTTTTGGCCTGAGGGCCGCATTGGGTTTTGGAAAATTGTATGGAAGGCTAGTTAGGGGAGGGGGTTCATGGCATGGCCCCCAACCCCTTATCTCCTCCTCCCCAACTTCCTGTCCCTTTTGCCCCATCCAACCCCTCCTCTCATTCCTGACTGCCCCTCAGAACCCCTGCCCCCAGTCAACCCCCCCATTCCCCACCCTCTGAGCACCCCGATCCCCTGCCCTCTATCCAAACCTCCCCCATTCCCTGCCCCCTTACCGCATTGCCTGGAGCACTGGTGGCTGGCAGTGCTACAGCTGCGCCGCCCAGCTGGAGCCAGCCACGCCATTGCGTAGCACAGAGCACTGGATCAGGCTGGGCTCTGCAGCTGCCCTGCCCCAGGAGCTCACAGCCCGCCGCCCAGAGCATTGTGCTGGCAGTGCAGTGGGCTGAGACTGCAGGGGAGGGGCTGGGGGCTAGCCTCCCAGGCCAGGAAGGAGGATCCCATGGGCCAGATGTGGCCCGTAGTTTGCCCACCCCTCAGACTCCGCCCCAAAGAGCTCACAATATTAACAATTTTAGCCAAAACACCCCTGTGAAGTAGTATTCCCATTTCACAGATGGGGAAACTGAGGTACAGGGCACAAGTAACTTGCACACAGTCAAGATTTCAAGAGAAGTTGTAGGCACAGAAATCAGATTTTCTGACCTTAACCACTAGACCACTCTTCCTCACTGGTATCTGCATTAGAATTATCTGAATTGTCTGTGTGTATTATTTACTCCTTCCAGAAGTACCAAGAACCAACCCAGATTTCTGTACTGATATCCACTACCATCAATCCTGGGGTAGAGGATCTCAGTTTAATTTAGTTTTCATTTTTATTCTGCAGTTCACTTCAATGGGCGGACAAAAGCTTTTTGAACTGTAATTGAGCTAGATTATTCAGGGATTTGGAATAAGCTACAATAGAGCGACCAGAAGCTTTCAAGTACTTTTATTCCAGATATAGCAGGGTTTAGATCTTGTTAAAAGCAGCTACATCCATTGATTGTACATAATCTTCAAAGGCTGTTATTCTCTCTTCCAACATATCTGTACCAACTTTATCATCTTCAACTACACACTGAATTTGAAGCTTCTTGATACCATAGCCAACTGGAACCAGCTTGGCTGTCAAGGAAAGAAATATGGAGATTAAGAGTCAATTAACCAAATACCCTATTCATCAGAGCATCACTTTAAGCACTAATTACACAATGAGAATTAGACCAGTTCAAAATACCAAATTGCATAAAACACATGGAAACCAACAGCATACTCCATATGCACATCACCTATCAATCCCTTGGCCATTAAAAGCACAGACTCAAATGCAAGTTACTTTTGCTTAAACAAAGTGTTTGTTATGCTACTTATGGACAGTATTTTCCCATTTCAAATCTACTTTTACAAGGGAGATTTGTTTGCTGTTGACAGAGGACCTTCAGTCCACAGGGAGACAGAACTGGGTGAAAACAGGAAGCTGACCAGGAAATATACCCACTCCTCTCCATCATTGAGAAGCTCCACCCCACAACTCAGCATGAACAATTCTGAGGTCTCTACAAGGAAGGCCAGAGATTTAGTTTTAAAATTAAAGTTAAAGTCTCCAGCAATTACTGCTATATTATGTTTACCAAGGCAGACAATACATAGTAGCTCTGCAATCCACAACTTATTAACTTCTCAAATCAAACTAGACTAATCTACATTTTGGAACAGTGATCTAGATGTCTATTTTTAATACACCAGTGATCTATATAAAGGCTACCATGGGTCCATAATATACTAAATAATAATATCTGTATTATTTCTACATACCATGAAGTGATGCCTTGAAGTATCTCTCTGCCTGCAGCATTTTTTTTTTTTTAAATAAAAACCACACTATTGTACTACCATCCCCTTGCTCTCACATTCTTGTTTATCACCTACTTACAAGATCCCCAGACTAATCCATCTGCCTGAATGCTTCGGACACACTCCTCCAATTTGGCCATGTCTGTCTCATCATCCCAGGGTTTCACATCCAGTAAGATGGACGATTTGGCAATAAGAGTTGGTTCTAAAAAAAAGGCAAGAAGATGGTGAGGGAGAAGAGAGAAAGCAACATGATGCAAGAATAAATTAAAATTAAGATATCCTGGACATTTTGTAGGCTATAAGACAGGGGTAGGCAACCTATGGCACGTGTGCCGAAGGCGGCACACGAGCTGATATTCAGTGGTACTCCCACTGCCCGGGTCCTGGCCACAAGTCTGGGGGGGGGCCT